AGCCACTTGCGAGCGCGCAAATGCGGCGGAATACGGCATAGTCTGCGAGGGGCAGCATGGGCGGCTGCGCCATCCGTTCCCCATTGTACTGTACCGTGCGTGAACACGTTGCAACGCTGCGGGCTCGTCCGGCGCAAGCGTTCGAAGGATCGCGGGCAGGGACACGCTGCGTTGACTGGTGTTGCGAGCTGTGGCGTGGCAGTATGTGGCGGGGACCGTTTTTTTTTGACCGCGCCGCCCATGAGGCGCTTCCAATCACTTCCAGTTCCCGCTTAATTAGGCCCGAGCTGAGACGGATTGCTTGGCAGCAATGCTGTGCGCAGCTAGCGAGATGGCCGAGATGGATGCCGAATGATGCCGACGCCACCGTCTCGTTCGACGGCAGGCGCCTATGACACATTATGACACTTCCGCGCGAAGTCGCTCCGGCCCCCGTCCGGTATGTGCATGCATGGTACGGCGGCACTTCGACATTCATTTGGTGGGACGAGGATGGTCGGCGCCACGGGATCTCGCAAGGCGCAAGCAAAGGTAGCACCCGCCCTGCGTCTTCCATGGCGCGACACGATGCTTTGGCTGTTGCTTCTATGGATGACCTCTATGACTCTATTAGCTTATATCTCATCACCACTCCTGCTCGTGCCCGACCCGCATTTGATGATGTCACGCACACGGTCGAACAGCATGCGGCGACGTGCGGCTTCGTCACTCTGGGTGTGCCGGTTGGGAGTGCGTCTGCTGCGAGAACTGCTGGAATTTCCTGATATGCAGGACGCGTGGCTTTTGCAGTGCTGTGCCAGCCTGTGTGCACAACACGTTTTGCGCACGGCTGGGCACGACCACGCAATCTGTGCGCGAGCCGGCTGCGGAAGTGAGGGAGTGAGGCGGCGTGCCATGTCGCCTTCCTCCCCGCAGCCTCTGGTGGCATAGGGCCGAAGGACTGTCGCGTTGCCTGCGTATGGGAGCTCGACCTGTGGGCCAGCTAGGAGACGTGGCGCACTTTCCGGCAGGCGGAAAAAGGGTTGTACAACAAAAAACGCATGTCATGCTCTCTGGCCCTGATGCATAGACGTTAATTGATTCGTGTTTCGCGTGGGCAAACTGTAGCGTTTGGGCCCCCCCTGCCGTCCCAAGCAAGTACTTGTTCGAATAGAAAAATGCAAGAGCCCCCGGGCCTGTGGGCGCCCTCCAGCTCCTCTGTTCCATCAGTTCGGCTCCATGTAACAAAAACGCCCAAGCCGAGCTCCGGGACGCCACAACGCCGAGAAACTCGCCTGCGTTTCCTGCAAGCCCTTCATCCACGTGCTGGGATCTGGCTTTGCTTCAATGTTTAGCCAAGGTGCTATGCGGCTTTCACCTTTCGGGCAAGCCTGGCGGTGGTAGTTGGCGTCAGGGTTTAGATCATTATCGCAAACCGTGCAATTCAATATGAGAAGGAGTCGCGTCTCCGATTGCCAGGTGCGCCTGGTTTATTTTGGCGTCATGGCATTTGGCCATCAACGTCGCGGCAAAGTCCGGGGTTGATTGTGGCAGGTTGGAGCGAATTCTGCCATGCTTTCGAAACCTGTTTGGTTGTCATTTCCACCATGGATTTGTGCGCTTTCCGTTGATTGTCGTTTCCGTTGGCAGCTTGCGACAGATCCGACACTGCCTGTGTCGCGGAAGAGTTGGCGTTGTTGCAACACCAACTGGCTGCGGGAGAGGCCCACTAGCTTGACGAGTTCGCTTTGTATGACGGTTGAGTCAATTGTCGAGGTAGCATTCAAGAGTTGTTCCGTGAGATACGGAGAGTGGTGCTCAGATTCCACGGTGTAGAGTGTCGGGCTTATAGCGTTCATGCGAGATATGTTTTGGGAAAGTGTGTTCAGCGCAGGAACATGGAGCAATGGTGGAAGACTATCCCAAGGCCAGACCATATGAGGCCACTTGCGAGCGCAGCAGCTAAAATTTGGTTTGGGGTCTTCCGGGAGGTAAGCCGCCTGCACATGGCTGTGCCCGTCACCCTATGATGGGCATGTTGGGCATACATGCTGCATCCTGTTGTCCAATTTTGTAGCACGGGTCGCGTCAAAACCATGAGCAATGCAGTACACATGCTTCCATACCAGATACTACGTTGTTGTGTCCCGATACTTGCGTGTTGAAATTTGAAGGGGGAATGTAAATAGCACGTTCTGGTGGATCTTTTCATGATGGGTGCTATCGGCACTCCGATATTTTAGCAAACGCTGCCGACGAAGCCCAAACACCAACCAGTCGGGCGCGCACCGCAGCGGGGTTGTTCGCCGCTCAGACCTGATATGACCTGGTGGGGGCCGCACCTTTGCCCCCGAACCTTCGGCACCCCGTGGAGACCATGACGCGGTCGGGCCACAAAGCCCGAGGATCACTCTATTTGTGGACAGTAAACCGGATTTCAAACGAGACTGACGTAAACTAACATAATATCCTTGTACAGTTTTAATATGTTTTAATTCTGTTGCATCGCAGCTTCTTTGCGCGCTTGCAGGTGCGACAAAAGCGACGTTGGCGGCGAAGGCAGATGCCCTTGAGGAGCGGAGGGGTCTGAAGGTGTTTGGAAGAGAGAATGTGAAGGTTTGGTTGTGATTCTCTCACAAATGCTGCTCATAGCAGGGTGCCATTTTCTATTGCTTTCCCATAGTTGACCATGGCCTGGAACCTCAAGGTTTAGGGTTTAGGGTTTAGGGTTTAGGGTTTAGCGTATAGGGTACTAAGAGGGTTCATTCAAGCGGGGTTTGCAGCCTAGAGTCCGAGAGCCGAGAACCGCTGAGTTGTCCGGGGGCCGGTGGTCCTTCCATGTCAACCTACGGAGCGAGCGCATCCTTACGGGAAGGGCTCTCCGATTGCCTCTAGCAATAATGACGGACAGCTGGGACAGAACGGAACCTTACCTTGGCCACCCCCGAGCTTCACAGGCGCTGGAAAAGTCGCAAGTACTCGAACAAGGTGGCTTGGGTTGAAGGATTGAGCATCGACGTTGAGGAGAAGGAAAGCTTCCGGGTATAGATTCGATGGAGTTAAACTTGTCCGTACCGGAAGGTGAAACACCAGAAAAAAACTTGCCAGCTCCACCTACCACGAGTTCGATGAATTTCCTTTCTTCATGGTACAGTCGATACACTGTACACTAAAATTTCTTGGCAACTGCTTATCGCTCACCATCAGAGCATGAAGAGCAGGCACACCAGTCGCTGAAAAAGGCGGTGGCTCCTTTACAGTTGAGACCTTTCTCAAGTTTCCGGGCAGTTAGTTCGCATTTTCTGGTTGGTTTTGTGATGTTCTCTGACATTAGGTTGGGAGTGGTGGAAGCGGCAGCCTGCCCATGCGTTTTTTGCATGCCACGTGCCACTTCGAGGTTTTCAAACTCAGAGATTTGAAAGTCTCAAACTTTCAAAACTCCGAGCTCGACTTGCTGCTTCGAGCTCAAGATCCAATCTTTAAAGCTCGAGCGGTGGGAAGTTCGAAGGTTTGAGTTTTCGAGCTTGACAGTTCGAACTCGGTTCGCTGCTCGCCGCTGAGGTCGAGGGTTGGACAGTTCTCACAGTTTGAGGTTCGGAAGTTTGCATGAAAACTCAAGAGAATTCGGAGGTTTGACGTGCCGCAAAAAACTCTCAGATTGACAGTGTTTGAGAGGCCTAAGGCTCTAAAGTTCGAACGTTCGAAGGGATTGAAAGTGTACAGGGCCGCAGCTGGTCCCAATCTCAAACTCCCTCCCCATTATGCGATGGAGGTGAAGCTCCCATCCGCATCCGTATCTTAAACCTGACCCCTCGTTAGATGATGGCGCTGGATCTCACAGCCTGCGCCCGCCCCCCGCAGTAGGCTATGGCGGTTGATCTCATTTCTCAAACAGGCCTTCTCATCAGGCGAGTGCGGTTGATCCCATATATTAGGGTTGATCTGTCCCTATCTTACACCCGCACCCACAATAGGCCATTAGGCGATGGCGGTTGATCCCATGTCGTAAACTCGCCCTCTCATGGGGCGATGGTGGTTGATTCACTCGTTAGACGATGGCGCGTAATTTCATACAACTAAATCGCCCTCAGTTGGCGATGGCAGTTGACTTCAGATCCCAAACCGGCATTTTCATTTAGAATTTATGTGAGTGCGGTCGATCCCATATCTTCATCCGGCCCATCAGTTAGCGAGTGCGGTTGGATTTCGGTTGAATCCCGTCCCGGGCGATTGTGGCAGATCCCATGTCGTAGTAGAACTCGCCCCACCCCCGCTTGGGCGATGGCGGTTGATTTCAGTCATACCGTATCTCGAATCCGCTCTCTCGTTAGACTTGTCCCCCCTGTGATCCCATATCTGTCAATATCTTCAACCCCGCCCTCAATTTGTTGTTGACCCCAGACCGTTCACAAGTCACCCGTTCGTTCTTAGTCTTCATAAATCCCACTCCGTGTCAGGCCGGCTGTGGGGTGTGGGTGGGCGAAGTGAGGAGGGGTTTGGGGGCGCGGTTTGACGGGCGGGAGGGGGCCGGCGGGTGGGTGACGTGAGGGCGAATGCAAAGACACCGCAACACCCTTTCGCCAAGTCAAGAAAACAGTCATCGGGGTATCGTGCGTAATGGGTCCTGAGGCTTATTACTACGGAAAGCAAACGACCACAACACGCATCGCCGCTGAGCCGCAAGCAGATGGGGGCAGGGGTTGGTTTGGGCAGTTTTTGAACTCAGGAATGAGAGAGGGAGAGAATGGGTCTGTAGACAGACTCAACAGAACAGCCGTCGGATTGCCGGGTTGTTTACACACTTTCAGATGCTATGGCGGCTGCTCCGGCGGACGGCTTCCGCAGGGCTTTCCTCCAGTTCTACTGACGTGTGGGAGCATTTTTGCCGAGGCCACAACAACGACCACTTTTTCCACGGCTCCTCCTCAGGTCCTCTGGCTTCTGTGTTGATTCGGGCATTTCGGATCATGAGGTCTTGAAGTCTAAAACGGTCTGCAGCGGAGGCGCTGAAATCGAGTGGCATGTTTCAGCCTCTGTCAGACTCACAGGCCGCACCTGTGTGGCTGCTGGCGAATGCGCAAGACACGTGCGACGACCTATGCAAGTTCAACGGGTATGGCGGATGTGGTGCAGGTGAAATCGCCCTCATCAACTCGACAGAAGCTGTTGCGGCCCTCCTCCTGGAGGAATTCAACATCACGTGCAATACAAACCCGAATCGAAACGAAGACTTTGGTATCTTCTACGCAGACAACGATGATTGCTGGTTTTTAGATGGGACCGTGGACTGCAGTCAGGGATTGTCAAATGTCGGAAGGCGCCCGGTTTGTTACTGCGAGGGCACCACGTCAACGACCACTCCGGATGCTACCTTGTTGAATTCTTGATAATATCAAGGGTTAAATTTATCGTACATAGGTTTAATATGCCGATCGGAGTTCACTGATAGTTCTTATTCACTGATGTGGAATCGTGCATGCCGCCAGCGTTAAGTTTTACCCAAGGCTAGATGGGCTTTTGGTGAAGACCAAGACTCCTGCAACGACTTCTGTCGCTTCACCGGGTTCGATGGGTGCAATGCGTCTATGATTCAAGAAATCAATACATACCCGAGAGCCGTCCGCTTGATTGAGGGCTTGGGCATGAATCTGACTTGCGATGCCGCCATTCGGCAAAAGGATACTGGCGTCTTCATCAACCCGAGTAACATCGATCCATCCTTTGCGCAGTGCTTCAGTGTCAAAGACATCGTCGATTGCGATGTTGGATTATCGAGCCTTAAACCTTTGTGCTTCTGCAGCTCAACCACAGTAACGACAACTGTTTCTGCCACTTGATCAAATTTAGTTTTTGCCGGCTCATGCTGTTGTAAGAAGCTCACCTTAATGGCATCTGACACAGCAACCGGTTTGGGTGGCCGGTCTGCCAGTTCTGGCGGCAGGTATCTCCTACTTATGAGCCGAAGGTAGCTGTTATGATACTTTGCTTTCGCTGGCATCCCACTAGGTCCTGGACTAAAGTGACTAGAGACCTGGTTTCTGCCCGTGGGAGTTCCGGATTAAGTCTCATACCACTTAGTGTCCCCTCTGCCGTCCTCATTTTCAGGCCAATTGGCGGCTTGGATCTGTGGGTCAGACTTGCGATGACGTCTGCACAAACGGTTGCAATGTGTCGGAAATGGAGCAGATCTTCCGGATGCCAAGGATCACGCGCTTGATGGGAGCGGCAGGGAACCTTGCCAGGACCTGTGTTCAGGGTGGCGGATCCCGTTCGAACGGCATCTTCTTTGATCCAACTGAGGGACAGAATGGAAAATGCTTCTACTTCGAACCAGGCGGAGCTGTGGACTGCAGCGCGAACAGCAACCCTACAAAAGAAGCTCCCGTATGCTACTGCAATCCGGCTGCTCCCGCTCCTTCACCTTGACCCCTGATTCCCTGTCAAAGGCAGCTCAGGGGTGGTGCAAACCGCAGGCAGCAGGATTTAGTTTTAGTTGTGATTCGCTCCAGTCTCCAGTGCTGAGCGAGGCTCCTCAACGAAGGACCCCGAAAACCCGCAAGGACGGGTGGAGTTTTGAGCGCATGAGAAAGAGGTCGACTTGCTAGCTGCCGACTGCCGACCTTCTTGGTGCGTAGACTTGGTCTGTGCTGAAAGTGCAGTAGATTTTTGTAGGACTCGAGTCGAGAATAATTTGGCCGCAGCAGTCACGATAACAATGGCAAAAACAACAAAGCCATAACAAAACCTTTACCGGCCGGGTACAAGGCCCGTAGTTTTAATTCAAGTGCCTCAAGTGTTCCGATGCGGCTCCCGTGAATTCTCGCTAGCATAGTGGAGCTATGCAGGAATCCGGTCGGTCACCCGGCTTGTAGGCGCATTCGAGCTCCCTTGCTGTCGAGCCGTTTCGGCTCTTAAGCTGTGCCGCCCAAGCCGAGCTCCGGGATTCCGAATGCCGAGAATGATGCCGCTTCAGCAAGCCTTAGATTGTTGCAACATGTTGCAGCGACGCTGGCCGATGCAGAGTATATGGAGTCGCATCTCCGATTGCCAGGTGCACTTTGATTTTTCTGGCCTCGCGGCATTTAGCCGTCAGTGTTGCGGCAAAGCTCGGCATTGAATGTGGCGGGTTGGGAAAAACCCAGGAGGGGACAGTATACCCTGATTCTCTGCCGGCATCAGGTTTAGTCAGTTGTGGGGTGAGTCGATTGTTGTGATTCGCTTGTGTCTATACTGCTGCTGAGCGAAGGTCCTCAACGAAGGACTTCTAAAATATCCGAAAACCTGAAATGACGGGTGGATTTCTGAGCGTATAAGAAAAAGGTCGAATTGCTAGCTGCCGACGTTCTCGTTCTTTGCGCGTAGAATGGAGGCCAACAACTGAGCAAGTGATCGAGCAACCGTTTTTGGGTAAAGGATGCTACGGGAAGCACTTAGCCTTTCTGGGGCATGGCTCTGGCTTCCTGGCAGCAATCACCGGCATCTGGTGCTTCGCTTGACATGACGACGACGGGACTGCCTGGGCCTAGTCAACATGATTCTCGCAAGGTGTGGTGCTCGCGCCAAGCACACTTTTTCTCTGCGAGTTGCATCGTTGGTGTAGTGTGTGTGTGTGTGTGCAGCAGTTAGTCGTTTTGGACATCGTTGCAGTTCCATTTGCGGCTGATTATGCCAAATCTGCCAAGGGTTAGTGACATCCTGTCCTTGCTCGGCCGACCAGAGCCGGAGCCGCCTCCTTTTGCGCTGAAGTTTCGTGATCATGCAATGGATTTTGAGGGTCGCAGCGCGCGCCCCTCGATTAGGTACGGTAGCGTTTCGTAGTATTTTTAGTTGCTTCTCTTTAGTTTCGTGTGTGCTACTGTTAAGTTATTGTTGAAGCCAGGAATCATTGCGTATGTGTGTTTCCCCTGTGTGTTGTTTGTCGTTGTTGATTTTTCTTCCTTTCTGTTGCTCATACTCGTATTTGTCAGTATTTTCGTGGTCATACTTGTCAGTGTTGTTGAAGGATCGATTTTTGTTCATTTTCGTTCAACTGTTTTTGCCCTCATGTTGAAGAGGACCTTGTGGCTCCGGGGCGCAGTGAATGCTACATGAGTCTTTGTTTGCGGGTGTCGCACCGCACACGTCGTAGGCATGTTGGTTCAGTTTGGCGGGGCAAGAAAAAGCAACGACGGTGCCCGCGGCAGCGAACGCCGTCAAGATTTAAATGCCGATCGGTTTGCCCACAAAGTCCCAGATGGAGCCTGGGACCATCGGTTTTGCTGCCGGAAGGAGCGCTTTTCCGTGACGTGTGTGACCTTCCTACAGATGTGTGACGCAGCGACCGTCAAAAGACCGAAGCCTTTCTATCAGCGACTTCGCTTCGTTGTTTGCAGTCAGATGTTTGGTTTGCATGCCGGCTGGATCGTGCGGCATTTTGACCTCGCGATGTTCAGATTCGTCACAGTTGTCGGTAGCTGCCCGCGAGTTCGGTCGATTTCTTCCTCGCAGGTGGATGATCTGCGCACGAAGCAAGTGGCATCAACGACTGCGTACCTTCAGGACTGCAGAAGCCCGCAGCGATTACTGTGGCGCGCGTGCTCAGTCGACAGGAGCTGGGAACTCTGAGGAGTCATTTGCGGCAAGTCGCTGCCGCAGAATCGCATTTTCGTCGGGGCCCGAAGAAGATCTGAGCATGTTGTGCGTTGTTCGTTGATCCATGTCTTGACAAGGCTTGACAAGGCTGTGTTGTGCATTGTTGTGCCCATGCAGACAGACAAAAGTGAGGCAAAGCAGACTTAAAGCAGTGTGGCCACTGTGTTTACGATGTGGTCGACACATGGTGGGCATCGTTACCTGTTACCTACCGGTTCATGGCTGCATGCAGTCAAACGTGTTTCGCTGTTCGAGCCCGCTATTCGAACACATTCAGTTCAATCCATCCTCTAATGGAAAGTGCGTTTAAACAACGTGATGTAACACTCTCGAGAAGAACGAGAGATCGATCCTGTTGGGCTTCGCGGCAGTTTCGGTTCTTGTATCGAGGCGCCGTGGCTGCTGAAACTTCAGCACCAACGCCTTCGCAGTCCAAGAGAGGTGTGCCGGTTGACGAGTGGCACAAGCCTTCCACTCATATCAGGCATGCTGCCCCTCGTCAGGTTCCAAAATCGATCCATCGTCGCAGAATAGTCAGCGGAGGCCGACAGGGACTGGAAGACGATAAGATGGAAAGTGGCAGGACTATGCAAACAGCCGTAGCTACAGCAAAGTTCAAAGCATCCGCCTCACCCTCCGCAAGTCAGGCCGTCGGTGCTGAAGAAGCCCAGCAAAAACAATGTTCCAACAGACCGAAGGCTGGTGTTTTTGATCAATCCTCGGTGGGTCGTGCTTCCTGCCCTGCCTGTGATGCGATGCTTTTTCAGCCGACGAATGACAGTGATTTGTTCGACATGCAGATCAGAACTTCTGCTGTCAGGGCTTCCTTCAGTGAGACGAAGGAAGAAATCGCGATACCCCAGGCAGACTGCTTGATTCACATTTTGATCCAGATTTGCTTTGCCTGTGCGCTGGAACATTCTTGTGCCAGAAGTTGGGTCGGCAACCTTCCGACGATGAGCCTCCGAAGAGCTCACTGTCTGGCTCAGCATCTGGAGGGCCGTTCCCTCAGACTGCACCCAGCCGCTGTGGGTCAAAGCAGTCAGACCAATCCGGACAGTGAGGCCACATGGCCGCAAGGCAAGCCCGCATCACAGAAGTCATGGGTGCCGTTCTTGCACATCTTCCTGCGAAGTTTTGCGTTGGCCGCTCTTGAGTGCATGCGTGCGCCACAGGGCCGCAAGTTTTCGACAATGACCGGCGCGGCCACAGCAGCCATGGCTTTCGCCAGGGTTCAGGAAACATGGCCGCAAAGGCTGTGTTCGGTTTGCTTGGCCCGGAAGGAAATCTGGGTTCCAATTTTCGGACGCATCCATCGAGCCCCGACAGATGCTAATAAGTTGGCATCGCTCATTATGCGGATTCATGAGGGGCCCAAGGCCCCACAGCAAGGCGTGTTGAGAATGCGCTCGCGTGCTCGGCTGGATGCGCACGGCCTTGCGCAAAAGCCGGTGTATGACTGCATCCACACGAACTACTAAGGGATTTGGGTCGAACGCCCCGTCCGAACATGATGTTGCTGAGGCCTCGTCCTAAGTGCATGGCAACCGCAATGTAATTATTAATGCCGAGCGGTAAAGCATGCAAGGTTCTGAGCAGCAAGCTTGTCATGCAGCATGCGTTGCCAAGGTCGGAATCGAGTTTGCCGAGGTCTGCCTGCCACTGCTTCCCTGTCCCCTAAGGCCCTAAGTTCGGACATGGCATCAAGCAACCTTAGCAACAAAAGCCCGAAACCCTCATTGCAACCCCCAAAGATGAAGAAACCCTGATGCTTGTACCGTAGTAGCCTTATAGTAACCCTATAGCCCTTACAACTACCACGAAGCAGAGCCTCGGCAGGTGCACCACTACATGTGGGACGCTGCAGAGTTCTTGGATCAGGCATTGCCTTAAGGGATTGGGGTATGCCGGTGCCTCAACGATGGAGGCCTTATGAAAATGAACGCCACACGCCCTGAACCCCGAAAGCCGTGCTGTACTCTAACTGATGGCTGTTGACGTGACGGATTGATGCTCTCCTGTTCACTGATGCTGCCGTGGTATATTGCTTAGAAAGCTTCTCGCTGTGGGTTGTGTCGCCTCCTCGTGGCTCTGCCTGTCCAAGGTATTGATAGGGCTTTCCAGCGGAGTGAAAAGGACCGATCCGGCAGAAGGAAAGCTCCGGGTGAGATGAACAGCCGAATAGCCCGATTCCAATAGCTTCATATGCTGCCGCCCCCACTAACAGTTACATACAGGTTCCTGATATAACACAGGCAGAAATGAGCACCAGGATTTGAAGGCCCAGGCACAATCATGAGCGCGCACAGTTTAGCACCAGAAAAAAGCACAACCATGAGCACAAAACTTAGCGCCAGAAAGTGCACAATCATGAGGACAAAGTTCAGCACCAGAAAGCACAATCATGAGCACAGAATTTGCCGAATATCAAGACTGCAAGTACGAGTTCATCAGACGAATTATTAGGCTTGATTTGCAATTTAGAAAAGCACAACCATGAGCACCAAACGCCGCACCAGAAAAGCACTCTCATGAGCGCAAAATTTAGCGGTAGAGAACGCACAATCACGAGCACAAAATTGAGCACCAGAAAAAGCACAAAGCTTAGCGCTAAAGAAGCACAACCCTGAGCACAAAGTTTAGGTTTAGCACCAGAAAATTGCGGTGTTGCTGCTGCTTTTTGTTGTGCTTCTGTTTGTGGTGACTGTTTACTAGGGCCGGCGACATTTAAACCAATAGCAGATTTAAGATAGAACAAGTTCAACAAAGGCCATACAACCCGAGGGTCAACTTCAACCCGGAAGGCAACGCAAGTCTTGGTCTGCAAGGTGCTGCTTGGAAGCATTGACAAGTGACGCGCTACTTGCAGAGTGCCGGTTATGTGGGTTCTTCCGTATTTTCCTTCTAGAGCGTTTCAGGGCCTTACGGCAAAGCAATTCAAACGCCATGGTTAGTTGTGCGAAGTTGTTGTGGTTCTCTTTGCATTGCATCTTACATCCTGCTACCGTCCATTGGGCAAGGGCGGGTGGGCTTTCGTGTTTAGGCATGCTCGTGTCCTTGTTTGTCACGCTTAAGTGAAGTAAGTCGAGTCAGCGCGTCTGCGGGCCCGTGTTCCCCATTCCACAGATTCGGAAGGCGTGATCAAGTACTGACAAAGCGACAGAATCTGACAGCCAAATTTACATTGCCCGCAGTATTTGCCACGTAGACTGACTTCACCCTGCAAAGGGAAAGGCCGTCGAGTTGGTTCCGGGTAAGGCTTGACTAGGTCATTAAGCCAGTCGAGACAGCCATCGTGTGCCTCCTGTAATTGTGCAAAAATTCCACAGTAAGCTGAGAGTTGTTGCGGCCGAGGATCACAGAAAAACTACGGTGCTTCAAGACGCAGAAGGAGGCCATTCCGATTGCGACGCAACGTTTCGGCACACCTGTCGAGGTACGGTAGACAACCTGTCGTGTCTTCCCGGGAGGCGACAACAATAGCCGAACTGGCCCACCTATGCAGACGCATGGAGTCGTACCTGAAGGCTTCCAGTTGTTTGCAGAGTCGAGGTTCTCTGTGTGTGTCTATGTACACAAGTACAGAGTATATATATATATATATAT